CGTTTGTCGAATTTTGATAATGAGAACCTATGGAGGGTCATCAGTGCCACAATTATTTTGATGGTCTTATTTTCTTCTTTATTCTAACTTTCTGTTTTCCAAATGAAATTCTTCATTTTTTTATTTCTTATTTTATTTCTTACTTCTTGAAGGCGCGGATCTAGAAGGGGGGGGGGCGGATCCCCACCCTCCCCCTCAAATTTGCAGACATATTAAGTAAATGTTTATACTTAACGAACTAAAAGTGACTTTGGACCCCCCTCGAAAACGCTGATCTGTGTTAAGTTGACGACTACCCCACTCCCCATCAACACACGCGCGCGCGCGCGAAATAGGTTTTTCATGCTTGGGAAAGGAGTTTACTTTTCTTTGCTTGTCAAGAAATTTCTGGGTTAGTTTTTTTGGACTGGTATGGAACCCCCCCCCCCCCATTGGATCCGTGCCTGCTCTTGTTTATATTTTCCAGTTTTATTTTATTTTATTTATTTTATTATGGCAATTTTGATTCCTTTCGTATTTTGATTCTATCTTAAAATTTCCATTATGTTTCACTTCACCTAACTTAATACTTAATTTATTTTGGTAATAACTATAAGCAAAATCGAAAGTTAAACTTTGTTTAAGAAAGTAGAACTTACAGAGTTAAACTAAGAAATCCGAAAAAAAAATTAAACGAAAAGGGACGCTACGGCCTTTTATGTACAGGTACACAGAGATCTTAGCGAACAGTCTAGCTACGAAACGTATAGAAACATTTCCATGGAACATTTTTTTTTTCATTTTAAAAACCATATGATATCATTCTTGCGTGTTTTCTCTTGTTTTCAGGTCCGTAGGAAGCATTTTCATTGGGTGGGGTGGGGATGGAGCAGTGGGCACAAAACAAAAATTTCTTGATAAGCTCCCCCCCCCCCCCCCAACATTCCTGTTGAGGGGGCACAACGATGAATTAGCATTATTTCTTTTCTTATGTATTTACCGACAAAATTATCGAGGGGGCACCATCAGAAATTGCTTTTTTTATTGGTGTAGTATATATTGGCACCCTCACCCCACTTGCTACCTACGGACCTGGTTCGCGGCCATAAAACTTAGATGAGCTCACTTTTTATCCCAGTCTCTCTTTTCTACATACTATTTATTCCTTTGGTAAATGTGATACTGTGATCAAAATTGAGCCCGTCTAAGTTTTTTGGCCCTGGTGCAAGATGTTTCAAATATGATAAATATGACCGCCATTTTTGATTGCCCGCTTATGGTATACAAATATCAGGTATCTTTAAGTTGATATTGTCATCACATTATTTTTTTAAAGTAGGACAGAGAATTTTTTTTCACTAACAAATCTCAGGTCCGAAGTAGGTGGGATCGAAAGGTTGGGCTCCCAATTTTTTTGTGTGGAGAATAATCTTTTGCAGCTGTTTTAATATGAAAATTAATTTACAGGCTGTATGCCCAACCCCAACCCCCCCCACCCCCCTTATTTTGCAGTATCATTAAACTCTGGCAAATTCTTGCGTTTAAAAAATAATTACTGTAAAGTTAAAGGTATTAACATCACCTCCCACGAAGGAGGAGTTTGGGCAGCTTATTTAATTTTTTTTTTCATCGTCAATTTTTTAAGAGCCCCCCCCCCCCCCCCTCGATAAACATTGATACGGATCTTCATCTACTGAGTGGTTGTCGTTTTATATATATATATATATATATATATATATATATATATATATATATATAATAAACTGGGGCACTGATCACAGAAGAATGATAAAGCATCCTTTATCTTCGAGAATAATGTTGTAGTATATATTCTGTTATTGTTATGTGTACACTGGAAAGTCATACAGTACCTCACAGTAGTTTTTGATGTATTGAACCTGGACTTCTAATGGGGTTAATTCATTGAATGTGTTATCAGGGTTGTCCCTAAGACGCAGGGCAGGGAATGTCTCCGCCTTGAATGATGCTTTCCCCCGGTTACTCTGATATTCCCCCTCAACCCTCTGTTAGGGGAGGAAATCCAGATCCCTTTCTACTTTTTTAATGACCCCTGCTATGAAATATGTGGAGATAACGAACAGTTTTCGAGCTCAAATATCCATCAAACATTACAAAATAGGAGCACAGCAAACATGGACCTCTAAGACCTCAGAGATGGATCAGGTGCCATGGAAGAGTGAGCATCCCCTGCCCACCGGTCACACTCGCCGTGTGCTCCTTGTCATGATCAGGAAATAACGGAAAAATCCGTCGACAATTCAGTGTGTAAATAGTGGCCAAACAATTAGTATGATAAAAGTCAGTCAGCATTTGACTTAATGAGAGATTGTATTTGCTGACAAGGTCATTGTAGCGACCATAGATCTTACGAAATGATGACTTTAAATTCTTAGGGACAACCCAGCGTTATACAGTCAATTCTCGAATTATCGCACACTGCATAAGAAATCTACGAAGTAGGCTTGAAATCGGTTTCTACAGGGGGTTTACTGATTGGTGAAGGAAGTTGATTTCATGAGAAATAAAGTAGAAAATCATCGGAGGAAGTAAATGTAAATGAATTTTAAAAACCATACACATTATCATCAACGCATCGAAATGCCGGGTTTCATAGATGCATTCAATATTTAAAAAACCATAAAAAAAACTAAAGGAGTTATTGTCAGTATGTATTCAGTATATACCAGAATCAAACCTGAAAACTGAAAAGTTTTCAAAAGTTTCAAAATAATCACTATCACTCTAAGAGTTTCGAGTTTTCCTGCCAAAGAGACGTGTTGTCATATTTCCCCCAAGTAGTTGTCTAGTGAACAGAGAGTTTTCCGTTCCTGACGATACCCAAAGAATGAACATTAAAAAATACAGAGAAAAATATATATTTTCTCTTTATTAATCACCTATGCCAGACACGATTTCTAATTTTTAACTCTGTCTACGGACATGTACTAGGGGAGCATTTTACATTCAACTTTTTGTGTCACCTGCAGAGCAGAGCGACAATTAGGCTGCTGATAAGTAGGAAAATGATGCATACGATTGGCATTTAAGAGGTAAGTTAATGCTATTTAGCATGTGGACTGTTTGTCATAAAACATGGTGAAAAATACTAGCATTACAATCCACTTGACCTTGACCTTTGGCCTACTTTCCAAAAATGTCCTGGGCAGTTTTATTTAATTTAAATTCTGAGAGGTATCGCGTGGTCTGAAAATTACATTAAAGACAGACTGTAATATTTTAGAGGATTATTGGAAACACGTAATAATAAAGTGAGGAATAATTATTTCTTACAATTTCAATTGAATTATTTTTTGAGGGTTGGGAACCATATTTTCTTTGATTGTCAGATTCTATCGCAGATGCCTATTTTCTTTGCACGCAAATGCATGAACTATAATGCTAGTTGTAAATGAATAGCTGACCACTCTTAGATTTATTTACATCTTCAGTGAATACAAAGAAGGCGACAAATGCGTTCCTAGGAACACTCTAGTTTTTTTTATTGTTTGAATGCACTTCATATCAGACAATGGGAAGGGAAAATGATAATACATTGCAATTATTCAATATATAAAAACAAACTGAAGCTAATAACAACAACCAAGACACCTGAGTTCAACATCAGCTTGTGGCGTAGTTAAGATGTATGCTTGTATTCTCGAGCATGTGCATCATTTTCATTTTGCAAAAAAAAAAAAAAAAAAAAAAAAAAAAAAAAAAAAAAAAAATATATATATATATATATATATATATATATATATATATATATGCATGTATATATATATATATATATATATATATATATATATATATATATATATATATATATATATATTTATATTTATATATATATATATATATATATATATATATATATATATATATATATATATATATATATATATATATATATATATATAGAATAAATAAATAAAATATTTGAAATGATGAAAGTAATAAACGTACAAGTACTGTATAAAGCTGAATTCATATTCTTTTTAGAAAAAAAAATGTGACATTTCATCTTGAACTTTCATATTCGTCAATGAATAGACTACTTTATCGATCATATTACATTTAGAAGTTGAAAATAGGGAGCTGACGTTAAATTCTCACTAGGACTCCCACCAGAGCTTCGCCCTGGACTCATTGAGTGGGGCCCCAGATCACAGGCCATTTTAAGCCGATGAACAATGTTCTGGTATAGGACAAAATATTTTCCTATACATGGATTTTAAAAGTTATTTTTAATGAAGTAAGAATCAACCTAATACGAGAAAGTAAGCAAAACAGAGAGCTGAGGGTTTTCAACAAGTTCATTAACAATTACAACTGATTGCTCGATAAAAAAACAAATAAAATTATTTGATGACTTTTTATTTCAAAATGTGAAGCGTACATAAACTAAAATGATATAATGATTACCTGATAAAGTTCAGTATATGTAGAATGTCTGCTATAAGTACTGTAAACCAGCTTTTATTCGCTTGAGAGGAATATCAGTGAATTTTGCTACCTTCATTTATTCATGAATATTTCTCTCCTCGACCTATTTTCATTGTGAATTTATGCTGAAAATTCTTCAGTCGCAAAATTTAGTCGTCGCAGATAGATTTACAACCGATAAATCGTGAATAAAAGTTGGTGCGAATAATAGTTGGTTTATAGTATCCCCCAACCCATGCAACGTATGGACTTCTATAGCACAACAGCATATTTCTCAACATATCTTTCCGTAATAAACGCTCCTTCACTAAGTTTTTCTTAGTATTTATTGCTTATAATTTTGTATATCAACTGGAAATAGGTCGATATTCTATCAAGTGGCTTTAGTCCTTAACTGTCTTATGGCAGCATTATTCTAGTGTTTTGACTTCATTACGTAATAAACTGGTGGTTTATATTAATCAAAAGAGTCATTCAAAAATACAAAAAGGGAAGGAAAACAAAAGGCATAAACTCCATTAGTTAGGTTTACAGCTATCTGACATTTGATTAACTTAGTTATTTCGATTACGAATTGTCTGTATTCTCATTTCTGTAGCAGTTTTTATTTTGTTTAATGGATATTCTCTGAGAGATCTTTTGTACGAGTATATAGCTGCCCGAGTGTTTCCTGTCACCTGTTGACAGATCCCCAGAATCTGCCATGATATGTCTCTGAGAAGTAAATCAACATAAACCCCCTGATCATAGTGGACTAGGGTCTCTAGATCATCCAGAGCTCTTTGTGCTTTCACTGTGTCTCTAAACCTGTAGCAGAAGATTTCGAGCATGTGTAACATTATAAAGGGTGGGACAGAGAGGGACGGCATATTGTTCTGAAAACCAGATATTTGCTCTGGTATCAACTCTTCGACATAGTGGACTAGATTGTAAAGTCTGATATCCCATGTTACTGTCTGTCTCATCTTTGTAGACCACGACCGCCCCCCTACAGCATCTATATATTTTCTTGCCCTTACCTTGAAGTTATGCATCACATACGGCTGTGCTAACTTGTCTTTTACCACCTCTATAATAGACAGAGCTTCCATGTATCTAAGCGTCTTATAAAAATACATGGCAAGGTAAAGCATGTCAGTAATACAACCACACCTAGCAGCTAATTTCAGCATATAACACGATTTTTTTTCAGCTGTGTACCCCAGTTTGTTCTCAGCCTCAGAAGTCTTCCTTTGTGATATAAAAGCAAGGTTCTGAAGGACAATGACCGTTAATTTTTGCAGCACAACCATTTGAGTCTGTGACATGGGGGAGGAACCTATGGTATGTTCTATTATATGAAGGTATCTCATATTGCTTTCTGGTTTTAATGGGTGACACCACACATATGTGTCTATTTCTACAAATAGCTTTAAATCGATAGCGAGCTCAGAATTCAAAGTATGGTCATCTAAAAGAATATAGGGTCCGGAATTATGAAGGACATTTATAAGATAAGATTTTAAGGAGGGGCTATGTAGCAGGAATGTTAATCCCTTTTTGTAGAATCCATACAGTCTATCAAACAAACTATTTTGTGCTTCACCATAAACTTCACTCAGAAACATGTTATTACCGGGAATGAAAAAGTTAGGACAGACCCCTTCATACACCCATTTGAGAACAAGCTTAAAACAGACCCAAAAACACTCTAGAATATTTTGTGGACACCAGTGAGATATTGCGTTTTGTTGAATCATCCACAAAACTGCTGTTTTCATGTGATAGGAACACAGTAATTTATCACCATCATCTAGTTGACAGTTAACTACTTCTGTCAAGAATAATTTAAGCAAGCCGTACGTTAAAAACTGACAGTGATTCATTGCATTAACAAGTTTTTGTTCGGCCACAGAGAAAGAAATTCTCCATTCATTTTGTGCATGATTACCTAGTTTGTGTCCTATTGCTACAAAATGGCATCCATTTCTTAATATATCATCAACAATATGAGGCTGAGGCCATGAGCGACATCTTTCTCTGAATGAAGAGGCAGGTGGAGGCCAAAAGTCACATAAAAAACAGTGGACTTGGTCAAATTCAGTGGCGCCAATAACTACACTCGCACAGGGTCCATGAGGTTTGGTATTGCATGACGATGTAGAGGCCATGATATGTCTGTATTTGGAACTAGATATATAATATCTATTATTTATTCTAACAAAAGCTTCATAGATATTCAGGCGGGTGTTTGGTGACAGTAGATATAACAAAGTGAAACCTGGTGGACTATCAGAAGAGTCACACACAATCAGTGATTGTCTGTGCATGTTGTAAAACCTAGACTGATATAAATCCCAGATCACACGGTGATGATTAGGCCAGGCCATAAAATCTATATCCGATGTTTTTAGTCTGAATCCTTCTCTGTAACTTCCACTTATCATCGCTTTATTCTCTTCATCTATCGCACTATGATTCATCACCAAATACATAATATCCAGCACATCTCTCCTCATGGCCACCAGTTGTGAGGTCCCAAGTTTACGACACAGACCCACAAACACGGATTCTGACATACGTTGTATAGTTGTCTTACTAATGATGAATAAAAGCAATCTGATTAACCTTATACAATAAATGCCACTTTGCAAAATCATTAAATACTAAATTACCTGTACATATAAAATTTTCCATTATTTTATTTAAAATCTTTTTGAAAGAATGCATTACATGCATCATTGTTCCTAATTAATTTATCATTGATTTTCAAAAGAAATGAATAGACGAAAATAAACATGTAAATACAAAATTAAAATTGGAAACAAAAGATACAACTTCTCATAGTTCAGACATTTTAAGAGTCGTATTACTTACTTTTGTGCAGTTTCAATGGAGTCCATTTTAAGATCTGAAAAGTTTCAGGTTCTATAAATTTAATAAGTACAGAAAAATCCCATAACATGCAAATTTGTTAATATATCGATATGCACACATATTCAAGGTTCGAATGGTCAAAATAAATAGTCATTTGTACTATGGATACCAATCATTAAAGCATTTTCTACCATTCATATTAAAAGCGCAAAATGTGTAAAATTTTCGCAATCTTCTTTAGACAACTTTTAATTCCTGTCAAACAGGGAACAACAAAGCCAAATCTACACTTTTTTTTATTATTTAAAGATAAGCTTTAAAAGAGAAAGAAAACAATTTACATGAATAATCATGAATAAATAAAAATCTAGGTTTATATCGACTTTTTTTCACAAATTCATTAGTGTGATTATAGAAATCAGAGCTTACATTTTTCCTTTTTATTAAAAGTCGGTAGAGCGCTCGCTCCGTGATCGGAAGTTCGTGTGTTCGAATCATGGGTGCGACTGACCTAAGTCGATAAAAAAATAGGTAGCAACTCTTCCTTCCCCATGAGCTCGGCACTTTGAAGTGAAGGTTGTGGGTCCTTCGGATGAGACCTTAAAAACCGAAGCCCCGTGTCACGGTAGGCGTTAGTACGATAAAGAACTCTCACTGCTCAATGGCCCTGAGTGCCGAGTAAAGGTCTAATTTGAAGCCCTTCTATATGAGTGAAAAATTCTCGAACGGGACGTAAAACAATATATAATCATATAATATCCTTTCAATTTCATATTTTTTAATACACACACTATGCTTAAAATATTTTTACACCCTTTATTCAAATTCATTTTCCAATGTGTTCCCAATCGATAAGGATCGGAAACTTTTTCAATTTAAAGGCAAAAAAAAATATTATACCTCTAGTTAATATGAGTTCAATATCATACATTTTTTTCAAGACTTACTTTATTTAAGATCAAAAAGAGCGCTTGTGCCTCTAAAAATCTGTCACTATTGTCCTTTCACGTTGTTGAAAAAATAAAACAATATTCTGCGAGATGAATAGTGAAAAAAAATCATCCAAACATTCCCATCTCAATTTGACAGTTCTAAATATTCGTCGATTTTAAAAACCCTCTCAACGAATAACAAGGCCAGAGATGTAGCTCACAGCTCTTCGTACAATTCTTTACATTAACCAGAAACGTTTATGCTTTAATGTCATTTTTTTTTCTTGTCATTAACTACATGACATTATCAGCTTTTTAAAGAAGAAAATCTAGAATCTTTTAAAGTGTTTTAAGGAAACAGACGCGACACTTCCGAGCATTACATTTACTTTAACCAGAGATATATGCTTGCAAGTTCGAGATTTCCTTGTCAGTAGCTATTCAACGCTGTTTATAGATTCGGAAAATTTTTGACGTATGTCAAAGAATCGATTCACCATATTTCCCCTGGATTTCTTTTTATTGAGATATTTATATTTAAAAAATCGGACATATTTAAATAAATCATGTCTTAAATAATGAATTCTATTTAAGAAATTTTATTTAAGTAAAAAAGTAATTGATTTCAAAAATTAATTGCTTGCTTGGAAATGAGAGGAGGTTGTTGATTTGTGCTTAATATGTTTTTAAGATCAAACAAGGATACTAGAATATTGAAGTTCACTTTTTGCTTAAGGTATGTCACTCGTGAAATTAATTAGTTAAATCAAGAATTTTTTGAGAAGTATATTTTAGATAAGCACTCATACAGCATGACTCAAAATCGCAAGGAAAATGAGGGGTCAGTGTGCATCTTACTGAGTTACGGTAAAATTAAGTTGACCTTTTTGCACTTAAATAGTAACTCTTTGGTTAATCACTTTAGTCTTTATCATATTTTATCAGATGTAATTTTGGCAATAAAAATAATCTCATTTTACTTAAAATAGTTTGAATAATATTCATCATCGAACAAGTGCAAATTAATGCGCATAAATTATTGTGTGACCTTTTTTGCACTAAAAAGTACCATATTTGGATTACAACAAATCTAAATAGACGATGAATTTTATTTCCGATATATGTAAACGATGTTGCTGTAAATATTTTATCAATGTATATACTGTTTGCTGATGATAATTCGCTTCAACAGTCTTCATATAACATAACTAATATTGAATATAATTTAAATCATGATTTACATATTCTGGAACTGCGTTCAAATCAATGGCTTCTAAAATTCAACCCTTTCAAAACATTTCTTTTTCAATAAAGAAAAATATTTCTGTTATGCCTAAATTATTTTTGGAAGGCGACAGACTGGAGCTTGTTCCAGTTTATCATCACCTGGGTTTATTGTAACGTTGTAACAAAACCTCAGCTGGAGAGAATACATTGATAGCATTGTAAACAATGCTTCTAAGAAACTTGGGCTTTTGAAAAAATTAAAGTTTAAAATTGATAGGACGCACCTTTCAAAATTGTATGTCAAATTTATCAGACCGTTGCTCGAATACGCTTCTATTGTTTGGGAAGGCTGTTCTAACCATGATGCCGAAAAGCTTGAAAGAGTTCAACTATCTGCAGCTAGATTTGATACAGGTCTTCCAGTCTTTGTATCTAGAGAACTACTTTCTTCTGAAACTAACTGGTAAACTTTAAAATTTAGGCGCTAAGTCTCAAAAATGGCTACTATGTACAAAATTCATAATGATTGTGTACCTGAGTACTTGAGTGATATTGTCCCACACAAGCGTGAAAACATATCAAAATACAGTACTCGTAATAAAGAACAGTTGACTGCTCCAAGATGCAGATTAGAATTATTTAAAAATCCTTTATATCCGATGCTGTAAAACAGTGGAATATATTAAAGATAGAAACGAAAGACGTCATCCCACTCAGTGCATTTCGCAGAAACTTAACTATAGAAGTCAAAACTCTACCAATTTATTTTTCATTTTGTAAACGTTATACAAATATAATCTATACTAAACTCAGACACAATTGTATACTTAACGATAATCTACACAAACGAAATATTATTATTATTCCTTTATGTTTATATGGGAAGTATGAAGATGCTTATCATGAAACCTATAGATTTTAATTGCTATGTTACTGAACAGAATTTTCACTTGTATCACTCGTTAAATTTATTTTTCTATGTACTATTAATATTTCAATTCAATGACAAATTGCTATATTTAAGGAGAAAAACCAGTAAGTTGTAAAAAAAAAAAAAAAATTCGGATCCTTTTAATTCATTCAATTAAATATGTTCAATAAAAAAAAAAAAAATAAATAAAAAAATAAAATAAAATATGTTTTGTATAAAACTTTTTATGACTTAAGTGCTGATTAGCTAAAAGTATCGTGTTGTTTAAAATGACGAAAAAAAGTGGGGTCAGTGATGTTAATTTTGAGGTATTGGTCAAAAAGCAAAAAACGGTGGAAATTTTATAACGACCTCTTAAATATATCTTCATTTCTTGGCAAAGTCTTTTAAGTGAATGTGTAAAATTTGTTCTAAAAATAGAGATTGAGACCTTTAGTTAATATTCCTAGCATATCATACGGAAAATATTAAGTAAAAATATTTGGGGCTAAAGTTCAAAGATATTAAATTTAACAAAAGTGTAGATTTGAAGAAATTTAATTTCTTCTAAATACCCTTCCATCACACGAAATATTCCCTCGTAAACCTTGCTTCCTTATGAATCTGTGAGCAGTTATTTAATTAAAAATTTTGAATTTTTTTAAGGTGAGACTCTATTGATCATATAGAGAAAATGCATTAGACTTTCTCTGTCTTCTTTGCACTTAGCAGATACAATAAGTGTATAGATATGATGAGCAAGGGTGTCTCTTCTAAAATATTGAAATTCATGGCCCTTTCAGGGTTTCTGGTGTAATACCGGGCTCTCTTAGTGATAAAATGTAAATGCATTATATATTCCAAAAAAGTTTTCCTCTGCACTTGAGTATTTAGCAGAGAAATTATTTGGCAACATAGGAACAAAGCTAATTTACGTTTGTGCCTCCTAATTTAGAAAGTTTGACGACCTTTCTTGTTTTGTTTTTACCCCGTGATTTTGCTTGTCAAAGACTGCCTTTGTAAAGACGAATGACATCCGTAGAAAAATAACAGGGGGTTATCGAAAAATGACCTCCTAGCCGTAGAGAATGTACTTTTTAGCAAGAAAAAAAACCCTAAGGTCAGAGTTCTACATGTGCAACCTGTAAGAAATTGACCCCCGTTGAAAAATGACCCCATCCCAACAGAGTGAGACAAAGTTTTAAAGAGATGATTTATAAAAAGTTTTAGGTCTCCACGGGTAATTCTCTTGCGTTTTTCTGATTAACACTCGATGAATACGCAATTAAAATGTATTTTAAAAAATCACATAAGTTTTTATTCATTGGAAATAATGAGTTCGTAGCACACAATTAAAATTGCACAGTAGATAGTCATAGTGATTATTGGATAAAGTTGTCGTTCAGAAAGTTAGTCATGAAGTCATTAATTGTTATCTCTAGACCTATTATTTTGTCCGAGTATTTTCTCGGAGATAACTTGGACAAATTTTATTAAACATTTCAGAAATGACGAACAATATGGAAACAAAAAAGAGACAAAATTTGTCAACGAATATAATCACGGTTGGCTTGGACAATGTTTACGAAACTACAAAAATGCATTTACACTTAAGATTTTTAAAACTGTTTCCATTGATATCGAAACGGTTGAACAACGAACTACCATGTGTAGTAGAATTTTTTCTTCCCGGGTGTAGAAAATCCGTCAGGGGTTTCAACTATCTAAATTATTTCATAAATTCTATAATCGATTTAATGCCATCGATTGATAGGTAGTATTTTGATTGACATGTTTCCCATTAATTCTTATTGTTTTTATACCATTTTGACTACGGTTTACCTAATTCATACAGATTGTATACACTGTGATTGTTACCGGTCCAGCAGAGGATGCTTATTCCTCCTCGACATCTGATCCCACTTATGGGGTTTCCTGGAGTCTCTGTTTTACTGATTTATGAATTTTGACCACGCAGTCTACTGAATGTACAACGGAAAAGAAATAAAACTAAAAAAAAAACCCAAACAGAACAAATCATCTTCTTTTATTTAGAAATATACAGAAAAACAGTTTTTAATCTATTTCTTCAACTTAAAGATCGACTGTGTACAATATTTGTTGAGAAATACAAACAAAAACAAAAGAAAATATAAGAATATTTTCAATTTCACCCAATTGACTTAGACATACACATGAATACATATAATATATACAGCAGATTAATCTTTAACATAATTGTACTTTTCTTAAGGTAGTCCAATCCTCAGGTTTTGAAAATCAGCTTTTAAGTAATTGAAAATGCTCACAAAAATGTATCTGATTTCACATAGTAAGGTGAATTTACACATGTTTTTTTTTTTCAAAGTTCATCATTTAAGTTAATCATATTATATAGGGAAAATTATCAAATTTCAAATATATTTTAAGGACATGCGAATAAAAAAAACCAGCTATGCATTTCGTAATTGAAATTTGATCAACAAATATAATTTAGGATAGAAAAACAATGGTATCCAGGCATTTGGAGAAAATCATTTTTTTATGATTATTCAGAATTTTAGTTCTTCTTTTTACTTCAATTGTCATATAATACAAGTGTAAAAAGCGTGTGCTATCATTGCTAGGCATCACATTTCACATCTAATTTCATATCATGCTAATAAGCAGTGGTATCTAATGCTAGACTAAAGGAAATTCAATTTCAATTTCTTTAAAAATGAATTCATTTTTTTTTCTATTATGGGGTACAAATGTCAACTTTTTAAAAAAAAAAACAAATAAAAAAAAAACGTTTCTAAGACTTCAAAGAACCTGAATCATATTAAGGTGAATAAAATGAAAATTTTTGCACGAAAAGATCTCAATTTCAAGCTTCATTTTGAGACTTTTTACATAAAATAATAAATTTAAGAGTTATCCTTCCTGGCTGAGGATCGGATATCCTTAAAATAAATCTTCACTTTAAAACGTCAAAGAATTTATTCGTTATCATCAAGAAGATTTCTAAAAACCTCTTTCAATTTTTCGAGATTGCGCATTCTTTGTTTTTCATCAGTGGCATCTATTTTGCCTTCTTCCACGTCGCGCTCAGACTCCATTGCGTCATCATTATCGTCAAATATATCATCATCATCGTCTTCGGCATCATCTCCTTCGTCATCGCCATCAGTTAGGGTGCTGTACTCTGTTTGCTGTCGTTTACTAGTGGGCCAGGTACATGACTTGTGATTGTCGTCAAAGACGAGGCCTCCAGGACATGACCTTAAATACGATACACCATTACTGCATTGGTAATATCTACCAGGGTCACGCGGATCAGCAAATGTATAGTATCCTGCTCTTGGACACTCCACAGTTTTTCTGGGAACGCATGTTTGATAGTCTTTGTTGAACTGAGTCCCAGGAGCACAAGGCATGACGAAAGATCCCCCAAACTCATCACACTGAATGAACTTTGTCTTATCCTTTGGATATGGTATGTGATAAATATTACCCATAGGTATACACTTGGAGTTCGACTGTTGAACTATACCTACATAAAAAGAAATTATCTAATTAAAAGGTTATTTTTATTTGATTACATTTGCAAAACAATAAGGAAATTTCATATCATGATTTTTTTTCCGTACAGATTTTGTCAGCAAAATTTTTAAGTCCTCCGTGGACATGCACTCCCTTATTTGAGATTCCAACTGATAGGTTTTGATGAGACGGAATTACTTTCTTCATACATAAATAGAGAGAAATCAACTGCAGATAACAATTGTAAGTCAATATTTTTCTTTTATTCTTTTGTAAAACAATAATTTGAATGATTTGAAAATGCATCGGATCAAAAAAAAGTAGGGATGCCAAATCGGTCAATGTTTGATAATCGGTTACTCGGATGTTTTTCCTATCGAGTACACGAATATTCGGAAGAAAATGTAAATACAAATGTGTTAATTTTCTTGAACCCAGGTAAACACCAACGCCGTTTTTATCAGGTTTGTACTGCATCTATATATATATCGAGTCCAACGAAAATGAATTTGTACTAAATTTATTTATCAAATATGCACACAAGACATCAATTAATGTACCGATAATAACAAACGGTTTACAGTTCTTGTTTAGGAATCCTATTTGATCAACGCAAGAGGAGGACAATCTGTTAAGCAGCTTTGCAATGATTAGACTAGCAAAAAAGACGGAACTTTGTTGGGATCGCTAATCGTATATTATTTCATATGTTGGTTATTCTAATTCTAAGTATTTCTCCACTTTTGAAATGGGTATACGTAGCGGCATTTCTTTGCATGTCCGATGTCGCTACCATATACTAACTAAATAATTTTAAAATGATTTAAAGATAATAGACCATATTAAAACGATGTTCATTGAAAACAAATCATTGAAGCCATCAAAAGTTAAGAGCCACAATAGGTGAAAACAGCTATGTGACAGGTAATGGGTAATTAATTACTGTAATTACACAGTCAATACAGTATGACTTTAAAAGTTAGTTTTTGATAAGTTTTGAAATAATAAAAAAAATATAAATCCGAGTAACCGAGTACCAATTTTAGTATTCGATACTCGGATGTTCGATCGAGTATTCGTTTAAGCGGGTACCCGTTGACATCCCAAAAAATAATGATTTTTATGTTGCAAAAAATATATATACAGTGTATGCCCATTTAAATGAATCATAAATGATTTTAACTTTTTTTGTAGAATAAAATACTATCATATATGCTTAGATGCGATTTGTCCATACAATAAACAATTTCAGTTGAGCAGCTTTAGCAACAAACCACTAATACATATCCCAAATTTCAGTACAGGAAGTACATGTAATAAGAAATTTTAAAAATACACATCCCTCACCCCTTACCTCATCCGTTTATGAAGAATTATTTACATGTTAGAGAAAACATTTTTATAGAAACCTTTGCTTTTTAATCGAGTGAACAAAAATTATATTTTGAATCATTTATTAGTCGTAAAAAAATGTGTGTCTGAAGTGGAATGATTGTCAAGCAAAGGGTTCCCTAGGTATTAATCAGATAACTTCGTGCAGAACAATATGCCCTACTCAGTATTTCTTGAAAGAGGTGTGGAATATTAGTCTAATTATGTGCATATATGTACATATATATCTGCTTACCATTCTCACAGTTTGAGCCCGTAAATCCAGTTTGACAATAACAACTAAAGCCACTGGGTGAGTTGATACAGCTACCTCCATTTTCACAAGATGAAGACCGACAGTGGTTTACTGTGACATCGCATGCTTTACCAGTATAACCATTCGGGCACGAACAGCGGAAGTTGTTAACGAGATCCGAGCATGATCCACCATTCCTGCATGGGTTTGGTGTGCAATCGTCAATATTGACCTCACAATTCTTTCCGGTAAAACCAGACGCACAATAACATCGATAACCATTACCATTCTTCGAACAAGTTCCCCAGTTTTGACATGGTGAGCTTTCACACATATTAACCTCTTTTTCACATAATCTCCCAGTGTAGCCAGAAGCACACTGACATGTAAAACCGCTTAGAAGATCTATGCAAATTGCACCATTTTTACATGGTTTTCTTTTACATTCATCTGAAAAAAAAAAATTATATTTTTAAAATACATGGTAAGTAAAGTTGCCTCTTTTACACATTGTGCACAGTTTTCTATACATTACTCTTTTATACCAAATTCACAAACGGCACTACTCTTCAGTGAAGAGTGAAAGTACTTTTCTTTTCGTACAAATATATTTAAATATACTGATACCAATTTATCTTTGAAATAGCCAAGCAGATCTTCATCATTTGCCCACCTGTTGCTTGGTTGAATGTTATACTGAACGTCTTGTTAATTGTTTTGCAATACACCATCGTTGTAATGACCTTTCCTTTGTAATGAACAAATACAGTCCGACCGCGGTTTTTAATTGAAAACGAGGCTGGTTCGTTGTCTCGTGCTACTCCTTTCACGTCATAGAAAACCTCACTTGGGGTAGATGTTTGAGCTGAAGCAAAGAGTTCGACCTCTCCACAGGTAACATTCGCCTACATGTAAAACAAATTCTAATACATAGTTTATCCTATAAGACAATCTGATATATCGATGTCGTCTTATAGAGTCATCTTTGAATCAAGATGTAAGAAATCTATACCAACACAAAAATATAACCCTGAGGTTATGAAGAAAGAATCCGTTTAACAGTTATGAAACCAAGAGTGAAGAGATTAAGATATTATGAAACAACTATAATTTAAGACAGCTTTTATTTATCATTATTTATTAATCATTAAATTCATCCGCGAAAACTAATTTCCTCAGGGAAAACATCACGAGGAAAATAAGTTCGCTAAACATGTACGTAAATAAAGTTGGTTTACAATAATTTCGTGGTCTACAATAATAAAGTTTAACTTAATAAAATTAAAAACCACTAAAAGATTTAAAAAATCAAAATATACATTTTCTGGTGTTAAATACATGTACTAGAAATATATTTAATTTTACAGCAAGGTTATGGGAAGAAGAAAATTCTGATGTACGTCGACTTAGAAATATTCACCGTTATTACTGTGACTTGAGCCTTTGTGTCAATTTCCACAGTGTCCTCAACATCCCGGTTTGGTTTTAAATCCACCACCACTGTTGTTTCATTATCGACTTTCACTTTCTTTGGTGCTATAAAGAGAAGATGAACATTTTTGAAGACCCCAGCTGTATTTTACACAGATATTGGGGTTGCTGGAAGAAAACATTTCTAAGAATTTCTTTTTATGTGTTCAATATAAAATATCTGGAAGAAAGCCAGTATCTTATGACAATTGCCTTATATATATATATATATATATATATATATATATATATATATATATATATATATATATATATATATATATATATATATATATATATATATACACCGATTAGTAAAACTTGAGTGTAATGTAAACTAGACGTACTGTGAGCACTGAGCTCACAAATTGATACCCCGCCTCCCATACGATTATAATGGAAACGTCCATGTTTTGTCAGAAGAAGACCAGAAATAAGTGAAAGATCAAAAAGTAAAATAGATGTACAATGCAATATGTAATAAAGAATCTGTGAAAATATCATTATATTTTATTCAGTGGTATAGGAGGAGTTGCGGATAACAGATGGATACCCTCAATATTATAGAAAGAATGGGTTTTGCTATGGGAAATCCGATATATGTGTCCGATCAAAAAATAGGAGGACACACTGGCACTGTGTAACAAAAATTCCCTGAAAGTCTCATTAAATTTCATTCAGTGGTATAAGAGATGCGGATAAGAGATTGGTAACCCATAGCGTAACGGACGGACGGACGTACAGCTAGATGGACGGACGGACACCCCTATCATTATATTCCCCCCTCTTGTGGGGGATGGTTGTAAAGATAAAGATAACGAACAGTAATCAAACCCAAAATAGAGTAGACAAGAAATCGTGTACAGGGCAAAATCATACACCCCTGGAAAAACATAACATGGGATCAGGTGTCTAGGAGGAGAAAACTTTCCCTGCCGACATGGCCGTGAGTCCTATAAATTTGTAACGTGAAGCTGTCACCCATCCAAGTGTTATAAAGGCTTGCTGTTGCTTAACTTGTCTGAAATGGAGGGAGACTCTACCGCATCACTAGAAAAGTTAGCTCACTAGCGAGGCAGTATAAGTTCCCTATATATACCCCCCCCCCCCCCCCCCCAGGAAAGCTTCGACCAGAAGCTTAGCATGAGCTCTCTCTGTGTCTGGACCTCCTCAGTACCGGCAACCAATTACGTCCACGGACACTAAGTCCGTACCTGGACACAAAGGCCTACCCTTCGTGCTTGCTGTAGCAGGTCTGGAGCCTCTACAGTTACAGCAACCCCTGCCGTCCACAGATATTTCGTCTGTGATTGGACACTAAGTCCTAGCTCTAAGACTTCCTGAAGCAGGTCGCAAAACACTAGAGTCACTACGCTGCCACAAATTTTGTAACGTGAAGCGGTCACCCATCCCAGGTTTATACAGGCTCGGAGTTGCTTAAGGACAGATGATACAAACAAACTTTTATTAAAAATCTTGGAAATAACAACTAATTAAATGTTCATATAAGTAAAATGAATAAGTTTAACCACATAATTTTTAACTTTTCATTCAAAGTTTCAAAATACTGGGATTTAAAATGACCAAAAAATGGATACTTTTACAAAGATGGCCGCAGAAAGGGAGAATTTAGAACATCATAGAAAGTTTACAATTTCTTAATATTTTAGAAATTTATTATTTGCATCATTTACAACCATAAATAGGTCCAAAATATATACCAATCCAGGAATCCATTTTTGTTTGTATCATCTGTCCTTAACTTGTCTGAAATAGAGGGAGACTCTACCGCATCACTAGAAAATCTAGCTCAGTAGCGAGGCAGTATAAGTTCCCTATATACTGTCCGCTACATATTTATGTAAATGACGTAAAATGTTTTACCTTTACATGATCGTCTTTTGACATCATACAGAATATTGCTAATTCCAGAAAACCCCTGCAACATAAACACGTGTACACAAGTCGGCTCCGAGGCTGCAGAGGTTATTTCTTCCCTGTCCACATCACCTATTCCGATCACAAAAATAGATACGCCTTTAGACCTGTAAGAAAAGAAATTTGTATACTCTCCTTGAGTTTGAAATTTTCATTTTTATGCCCCGCCATGAATATGTTTGTCATGTCCGTCTTCCATCCTTCTGTCCTTCCGTCTGTCCTTTCGTCACACTCAGTTTCAAAGAAACTATCCAATATATTTTTATCAAATTTCATATGCTGAAAGATATTTATGAGAGCTATGCAACTGCATCAACATTTTTTGACCTTGACTTTTCCTTTGACCTTGACCTCACTTTTCTTAAATTAGTGTTTAGCTCAGTTTTAAAGATACCATTCAAGATAGTGTAATCAAACTTAATATGTTGTTACATACTGACGTAAGCTATTCAACTGCATCAACATTTTCTGACCTTGACCTTTTTTTGACCTTGAATTCACTTTTCTTAAATTAGTGTTTAGCTCAGTTTTAAAATAACCATTCATAATATTTTTATCAAACTTCATATGCTAATACAAACTGATGTAACCTTTTCAACTGCATCAACAATTTTTTACCTTGACCTTTCCTTTGATCTTGACCTCACTTTTCTTAAATTAGTGTCCAACTTCATATGCTGATACATACTGATGTAAGCTATTCAACTGCATCAATATTTTTTTTTTACCTTGACCTTTCCTTTGACCTTGACCTCACTTTTCTCAATTTGTGTTAAAATGACACATTACTAATATACCCTCGGCGGGGCATTCATGTCCTATGGACATATTTTTAGTTGTTATAGAATAGACATCTAACATAAACTGTAAATAAATATGAGTAATTATCTCCTCAGCTTTTCTGATATCGTACTACGGAGTCGTAGTGCATGGGTGTTGATACAGCTATACATTGTTAATATTTCAAATAACTCTTAAAGGGGCAGTTATACACACTTGCATTGCTATTCTATTTTCTCTCTATTTTCAAAAATCATCAACTGCATTAACTAAAAAACTTTTCAGCACCTCAAAATACATGTTCTTAGATTTTTGAAAAATCGCATCCTCATGTTTAATCAAATAAGGGAGAAAAAAGAACAACGATACTATACTTAAGTGGAAAACTCCTTTGTATTTTATCATGTGTTCTTACTTTGCTCTGTTGGCTTCTTGGGCTGTCAAAGTTTTATTTTTGGATTGTCCATCCGTGAGCAGGATCATTACTTTTGTGGCGTCTTTCCTGGGAAAACCGGAAAGAATAGATTCATTGTAAGAATTTAAACGTGAATTAATTTATTTTTATGAGTGTGTTAATGTTCATACCTTCTAATTTCTTGTATCATACGAAAAGTATATTTTTTGTCCAACTTACCTTGACGATCGGCTGAACACAGTACGACCGCTCTTTATACCTTCTCCGATACTCGTGCCTCCTCGTACATAACTCATGTTCTGAATGGCTCTCTGTACGAACATTTGTATATCATTTATATTTCTCTGACTTCAATATTTTTTTTTTTTACATTTTTAAACATAGGCGTTGGCATGATAAAGATCCCTCACTGCTCAAAGGCCCTGAGTGCCCAGTAAAGGTCAAATTTTGAAGCCCTTTACCGGTATATGGTGACGTCTATATATGAGTGAAAAATTCTCGAATGGGACGTAAAACAACATACAATCAATCAATCAATACATCTGTTCTTCTCCAAAAGAACTTCCAATCCATTCATGAATCAAATTTATATCTCTCTCGTCATTGATATTAAGATGAAATATGAAGATAACGAACAGTAATCAAGCTTAAAAGTCCAACAATACAAATAGGGATCAGAGAAAACAAGAACCTCTAAATACATTAGGGGTTGGATCAGGTGCCATAAAGTAGTAAGGATCCCCTGTCAACCAGTCACACTCGCCGTACACTCCTTGACATGTTCAGGCAAATGGAAAACATTTGTTGAAAATTCAGTGTGAAAAAATGGCCTTACCTTTTGTATGAAAAACGTCAATCAGCATTCGACTTACAATATATTGTATTCGCAATTAACAAGGTCACTGTATCGATCACAAGATTTGCGAAATGTTGACCTGTTGTTGTCCTTGTATCATCAAGTTCTTTGTCAATAGCTTATCTTGTTTTAGAAATTGTTCGTCCGCAGAACATGCTCTTGTGTATCGAATCAACTGGTAGAAATAAACTCCGTATATAGGTGGTAATGGTACATTGCTACATATATAAGAGAAGTTGATGATACAAAAGATAAAAATATCAAGTTTAGCATTAGGTTTTGCTGTTAGGTTGCCATAAATGTCTTTTCTAGTAAAATATCCAAATAGGAAACAGATGTGTCAGACTTTGTGGTGTCTTATTTCGAGTTATTACACCACTTTTGGAGATGTATCGAATCAAAGTGAGAATGAAAATGAATGTTGTTAATCGATAAATCTTATTGTCGAATTGAAAGCCACAGCAATGACTTCTTTTCTTTTCTTTTTTTTTTTTTTTTTTTTTTTTTTTTTTTTTTTTTTTTTTTGTTTTTGAATAAATTCTGCTTCATATGAATACAAAAGTAGGTCTGCTAATAATGGGCGCAATAAGTATATTCATTAGGAATTCCAACACTTTGTCGGAAGACTTGATCTCCGGAACTAAAAAGATATTGTCAACAGAATCTCGAGCATCTTTTAATATCAATATCGGAATACTTGTGCGTTACTGTACAAGATGAATTTTTATTTTTCACAAAATAATTTTGCAGAAGGTCAGTGACAAAGTATGTACAGTGTAAATTAGTTCCATTCTTATTAAAGAAACCCAGGTGTCTATTTTTGTTCAAATGTGTGGAATATTATTTATCGTAGGGAATGATTGTATAAAGTATTGAAAAGTCGTAGATTTAGATGTGATTGATTTTGGTAACGTTTTGTGATTTCAATTTATTTAAAAGTTCCTCTGAGGTTTAAGCATCCACATCTGATTTACAACACTTCTCAAATATGTTGTTGTACAGGATTTTATGTAGTTTAAAAATCCAATATTGTTATCGTTATTCGAATTCAATTTGATTATTGTGAATTTGAAAAATATTTAGGATTCCTAAACTACATAGAATCTTTGCAAACAAAGATACATAACAGGTTCCAGTGAATGTTCTTCAAAGTCTCTTTCTTTACTCTTTATTAAGATATTAACAGCAGTGAAGAAGAAACTTCAGGAGTTTTGTACAACAACATACAAATTTGTATAGGGGTATCAAGATATAGTTTTAAGTCAACTTCTATTATAGCCCTGTTTGCAAATACAACCTATGTTAAATGACGTTTAAATATAAAGTGCTAAGCCATTGTTTTTACGCTAAGTTCTCTGAAGTTTATACGCTTATCTGATCAAGACAAAGGACTCATTGCAGCTGTGATAGGTCGACAAAGGATGCTTACTCCTCTTTGGCACCTTATTCCACCTCAAATGTTCTTTGCGGTCCGAGTATTCTCCTTCTTTTAATTTTGTATTGTTTCAATGTATTGAGCTTTATCACTGACGTTATCATCACATTTCATGATGTTAGCATTGATGAATTACACATTTACAGCATGGGTTACAATGTATGGAGACAAGATGGAATTAAGGTCTAGTATAAGGGATATGTACGAGTATTTTACATTAAGTACTAAAATATATTCTTTGCATTTTGCAAAGAGTGTTTTTTCCTTTATGGTTTAAGGTTTTCTCTTGCCTGATAAATAAATTTGAAAACATTGTTATATGCCCGTTTAGAACAAGAGCCGTCTATTTTTTTTTTTTTTTTTTTTTTTTTTTTTTTTTTTAGGTTATGTCAAGCTTCTCCTTTCCACATACTCAGTATTTCAACTAAAAGTTTTGTTGACCAGAAATCAAATTCATCTACAATTCTGTTTTTCTACTGATAGAATCCAACTTACCTTAATAGATGATTTCTGACTGTATGTGTTTAGATCGAACACTGTAGTGGCAGACGTATGGAACTTGACGAGTCCAACGCGAAATGCAGTGTTTGAAATGGTTATTTGGTCCACAAGGTTCTCAAGAAAGTTCTTCATTTTATTAAAATTTGTTTTACCGATGCTTGTAGATTCGTCGACCACAAACACAAGATCTACAGGCTTCATGTCACAGGATACTGCAAAATATTTCTGAGAGCTTATCTAGTTGTTGTTGTTTATTGAATTTAGAATGTTTGTCTAGATTGAAACTTTTCGTTTTAAAATGCGTGAATTGATGATAGATCTTGTATTTGCAATGATACAGTCCATGAAACGTTCTATTTTTCCACTTGAACGGTGAGCAAATGCTGAGCGAACGGTGTGTGAACGCTGAACGCAATTTGGTGAACGGTTGGTAAACGGTGAACGGTGAGCGAACGCAGAACGCAAACGGAGCGCAAATCCAAGCGCAAAATGAACGGTGAACGAAAGATGAACGATTTATTCGGAATGTCTATTATAGTTTCCTTGCATTGTATGTATTCTATTGCATTCTTATGTCAGGTGCAAAACAAAAAAAAAAAAACATTTGTTAAATGAAACAACAGTCATTAGAATAACTAGAAACTCTGCTATTGCAAGCAATAGCTTATGTCACCCCGAACCAAACGATAACCTTTTAGATTGTTCAATGCTTAAAGAAATGGGTATTCGTAGAAACACCCCCCCACACACACACACACACACGCACACTTTCACACACAAACGAACCAAGTTACGGTTGCAAGGTTTGATGGAACCAAAGTTAGGGGAAATGAAAGTAGAGCTTGCGAAGTCGTTCAAGGTTCACGTCAAAACATGGCTGAAGCAAAATAATTCCTGAATTTTCCTCTTCAATTTGGACATTTCGGCACTGGACAGGGACTGATTTTTTTATGAGATGACAAACTTAGTGTAAATTTTATTAGTTTAGCAGAATCGTGAACATTTCCGGCGTGCTGATTGTTTTGTCTATAGAAGTGATGAGGCCTTTACCCACCTGCTGGAGCGGATCCAAGGATTTCAATTAATAAAAATGACGAAAATTAAGTTTCAATAATTCTAAATATCATTGAATGAAATTATTCACATGCAAGTAATACGTTCATTAGAAAACTCAAAATGCTAATGAATTCAGCTGACAATCGCTACTTTAAAAAAAATACATCTATTAAATATAATAATTATAAATTCTATAGAAAAACAGAAGAAGAATGAATGCTGGTAAAATATCAGATCACATCAGCGGCACTGAATTTTATTCATGAACCCTTAAGATCTTCCCTTTCAATTATACCTGCATTTTCTACCTCGCTGTTTCGAAATGGGGGGGGGGGGGGTATTGAAAATTCACATGTAAATTAACCATCATTTTGTAGTAAGTCTGAAGCCTTAGCATTTTTGAAAACTTTATGACGAAGGGGTATTTGTAATATGAAGGTCAAGGTCATTTTATTCAGAATCCAAGACATTAAACAAAACTTGCTTTGTTAACAATTAGAGAAAAATGACAGAGAGGAAAAGGGGGGAGGATAAAATACTAAATATGTCATTGTCTTGTTTATTTGAAAAGAATCCATAAGGATTAAATGTTTGTATAGTTCCTTTATTGTAGAAATTCTTAGATCCACGTCTTGGCCAATGTACTGACTAATTACGCCTAACCAAGGATGGTGTAAGGTCACGTGGCCAGCTAAGCGAATCAGTTGTATTTTGATACCCGCACGCTGACCACCGTTTACACGAGGCACGTCTAATTTGAAGACAATACAACTTTTTCTGATAGTTAAAGTTAGCTAGAAGGCGTGCTTTCCCACCTTATCGAGTAGTTAGAATAATCTAACTGTGTCTCGGGACAGGCCCTCACCACGGTTAGAATGCCTCCCATGTACCCGTAATGTAGCAGAAAATTGCAGAATCGCTCCGAAACGATTTTGGAGAAAATTAATGAAGTTGCATTGAAAATAACACTCAAATTAATCATAACAAACCTTTTTGAGACTGTAAATACCTTTCATCTAAAAAACTAATCCATATAACGGAAGAATTCAACACTTTTTCACCAACGTTTTTTACTCGTTTCAAATTTACACACCATGTTGACATTCGGAACTCTCGGGATTTTTCATAGTATATGCACTGAGTTAGAGTTATCTCCCGTATTTTCTTTGCTACATAGACAATGCACGGAACGCATTCTATCGTTAAACCGGTAGGACATTTATCATTTTAACGATAGAACATTCTATCTACTTATCGAGTACCTAATGTTTGAAAAAAACAAAAACTAAGTATTGTCACAGTTTGTGCGGTTAGAGTTTACTTTATTGTTTACAGTACTTGACCGGGCGTTGGTGTAGATGTGCACGGCTCATATACATGTACAGATATTTCAATGTCCAAGTGGTGTATATTTTTCTGATGATTGGACTTGATTAATTTGGACAGGCACTCTTTCGAAAATTTGATCGACGGAGATTTATAATGCGAGTGCTAATAATCCGTGGTTATTTAATTTATTTTTTTCCCGCCAAACGTAGTTTTCATCCAGATTTTAAAATAATATGTGAATGTAATAACTGAACGACGTTAACCGGAAACATTTATATCAATGGAGACACCGACTTGTTTGGCGAGGAGTTGTAATAATATTTGCCAGTATCTGCGGGATGGCGTTGATGTGAAAACGAATACGCAGCTGGAGATCATGACCAAGTTTTTGTCGGATTCACTCTTGGCGCCACAGAGGTTTCAGGAAGGACGAGCTATCTGGTCTAGATGGTCTACATATGTGCTGCACCCCATTGCACGACCAGCCCATGCGGAAATTTCTTCGAAGTATAAGGTACATTTTTTTGCATGCACTGATTGAATCGTCCTAGTTATTAAGGCCAGTATAACATTCTGTATCATTTTATTGGACAGTGGGGTGCTTATGCTTGGGGTAGACTATGAATATTTAGGTCATATGAAGTTAGTTACTCAGAAAACCAGTGTTGTCAAACCATATCGGGTTTTTTTTTCCGAACGCTTCCAGAACAAATAAATAAATAATAAATAAGTAAAGGAATAAATGGATAAATAAGTAAAAAAAACGTTCCCATATTGTCCTAAGAGATGTGATACATGCACATTAAGTATACATATTAATTATGTTTCTTACAATATTTTCTGCAGATATGTTTTATGTTTAATTAAGCTGTTTAGTCACAGACGAGTTATCGCTGTAAATCATTGTCATTAATACCGAACCTAAGTTAAGAACATTTAAAATTATTCCAGCTGTAAAATAGATATGTTTATTCTTACTTGGTCTATAAAATCACTACAAATTTTGTAGCTTTTAGAAGAGGAGATGACTTATGGAATGAATTACATCCATACATGTTTTTTTTTTTTTTTCTGTGCAAAGTCGGTTCTGTACAAAGGCGGTTCCGTGTACAATGATCAAAAAAACACAATTGAAAATATTTTACAAAGGTCAGTATGTTTTTATGTAATCTAAATTTTAATGCAATAATATATTTATGAGACACGGCACGTGCCTGTTTTTAATGATGATTTATTGAGCAGACTTCTAGATGTATCTTTAGCCCCCCCCCCCCTTCCCACCCCCTTCACCAAATTCAACGAACCTAGCTGTATCAAACAAAAATTCTTAAGTTTTAATTATTTTGAATAAATCAGGCAGTGAAAGTTACCATTCTTTATCAACAATTCCATTTGTTTGGTACTCATAATTGTTTTGTTTTGTTTTGTTTTGTTTTGTTTTTTTTTTGTCCTTCAAGTTCACACGAAGTCAACTTGCTTGCCCTAGCTGTCAATCAAAATCATTTGAAAATGTACAGGGGGTCGGAGCATAAAGCTTACTAAGTTTTTGACTTAAGTAAGGTCATAAGTATGTTTTAGGTGAATTCTAAAACCTGCCTAAGTACTACTTAAGTATGGCTTAAACCGTAGCATAAAACGGACTTAGCTAGGTCTTAGCTAAGTCAAACTTATGTTCAAAATATTTTTTTTATGAATCATCCAAGTTTTTCAATTTACATGTATTTATATATGTATTTGTAAAAATGATTTAGTTACGTTTTTAATCTCATGTACATTAAAGTTGACGCCCTTACCTATCGGTTTTAGCTAGGTTAGATTAGATTTCGTAAATATTTAATTACAGTTAATTCTGTTTAAATAATTCTGAATATTTGAAAACAAATATTTCACGGTTACAAAATGGCACTAACAGTTCATTGTAAATACGTCAATATTGTTTATCACTCGAGACTGCGATGTTTTCAGTTTACCGTTTGTTGTTAGTTTTTCGTTTGACAATTGTTCACTTGCTTTCAAATTGTCATTCTCGCAGACATGACACGATAACCGAACGTCAATGTACTTGAAATTGAAACTCTTAATAAAAGATTTATTTAAAAAAAATAGGGAGATTTTGATTTTTTTTTCCTTCCCATATCAACAAGCAGAGACTGCAGACGTTTTTTGATACACACATTTACAATTTAATGAAGGATGTAAAAGAATTGTTTTCCGAAAACATTTTTTTTCTATATCTCCAACTTACATGTATCAACAACTCTCTCTCTCTCTCTCTCTCTCTCTCTCTCTCTCGTACGCTATAACGGTAGTGAATCCTGTCTGAATCCTCGCTTGTTGCGTTCTACATTCAATCTAATTTACGGAAAATCTTTATAAGTTTTCTAGTCATCACCCTTTAATTCACTTACAATTTTTAAAATCATTTCATCTCATTTTTTCACAGTGAACAAACAAATCCATGATTACTGTACACAATTTACTTATAATGATTAGTGTTTATGAGCTAGGTCCCACTAATATTTCAAACGTATCCCAAAAATAATATTTTGCATTTACATGTATGTCATTTAGAGAGCGATATTGGAATAAGTGATGAATAACCCCCCCCCCCCCCCCGACGAAAACTAAAACTCTTATACCAGTATATTTTAATAAAAATAGAGAAAATTATTTTTTAATGCATAATATGAATATAGGAATGTTTAAATAAGTTTTGCTAAGATTGTCAAATCGCTTCTAGTTTAAGCATCACATCGAAGGCGAATAAATTATTGCTAGTATTTCCAAGAAGTTTAAAACGTTTTTTTTTTTTTTTTTTTTTTTATCATTTCTAGATATGATTCTAACATTTCTCCAAAAAAAAAAATAAATAAATAAATAAATAAATAAATGAAATACATTGGGTATAAATACTTGGAATAATTAAGCCGCATGAATTTGATACATACTCTCTGCCAATTTCAAATACCACCGCCGGCACGTGTATTTTGAACTATGATTGTTAAAAGACTTTCTTAGATGCATATATGTTTTGAGACTAAATTTTTATGTCACAAAATGCATTAACTTCTTGTTTAATTTGAATTAAAATATACTTTAAATACCGACTATCTAGCTGATTCAGGAAAAAAGGGGTTCTCTTAATTTTTTCGAATGGGAAACGTATATAGTTACAGTGAAGGAAGAATTTTTTTCTCTCTAACCATAGACTTTGACAATATAAAGTAAAGAAAACTTATGCACTTTCATCTCCGTCATAAATTTTCTGTTTTTTTTTAAGGGGGGGGGGGGGGGATTGAACGCAAAGTGAACGAACGGTGAGCAAACGCTGAATGCTTTGTGAGCGCCAGCTGAATGCTGCACTCAGCTATGTTATTAAGGAAATCAATGGAAATGTGATCTTAATACCTTCTTAATATGTATAACATATAATAATCACTGTAAAAATAGTAACTTTAAAATAGAAACTAAAACTTAATATAGTTACCAGTGATGAATTTGTTTGTGTCGTACTTAGTACCATTTTCATAGTATATATCAGCTGTTTATCACGTGACTTTCGTAAAAATAAATTATAAGGCTGAATGTAGAAAATGACGCTTATGCAAGGGCATCCGTTTGTTTTTGGCCATAAAAATTGATACACATTAGAAGAGCTTTACATACCTTACTTGCAAAGTGCTACACTGTCAGAGGCTAGTGTTGTTTAGGAAGTACTCGCAATTTTGCCGAGAATGTGTGTAATAGGAAAAACAATTTCCACTTCGCCTCTACATCGTTAAGAATTTAAACAAAAAATATTCTTCAGACTAGAATCAACTCCCAGCACCTTTTAGAATATACGAATTTATCCCATGTTTACCCCTTTATCCCGTGGATATGACTCATTGGATAATTTTTTCATATTCCACAGTTAAGTGCAGTTGTGACGTCACAATGGTTTTTGCGTTAGCGTGATGAAGTAAAATAAAGCGGAGTCCTATATAAAACAGTGTAAAACATTGGTTGTGAAGTATTAAACATGGGATAAAAAGAATCTCCCATGATTTGTAGTTGGATATGACTTTTATCCAACTCGTTGTGTGTTTTTATCCCCTCGCCAAGGCTCGGGGATAAAAAAAAAACACACAACTCGTTGGATAAAAATCATATCCAACTACAAATCATCGGAGATCCTATATATACGTAATATAAGCAATTGATATTCCCCATTTCAGCTTAAATGTTTTAGTGCATGCCCGTGCACTTTGGGGGTTTATCGAGAATATGCTTATCGTATTACACTGCAGCGATTTTCTTTACATTCTCTGACGTTGTGCAGCTGAATAAGGTCCTTATTAATTAATTATTTACATAGCTGTTCTTCAGAAATAATTTTGTTTTCAGTTTTATTAATTAAACTGAAAATTTGACGATGATTTTATATTTAATGAATCATTTTTTGTAATTATTAAGAAATGTTTTGTTTTCAATTAAATAAATTAGACTTAAAATTTTACGATGATTTTATATTTAATGAATATTTTTTGTAATTATTAAACCAATGGATCCACTCCTTGGATCATTTATTTATACTGCGTCAAGTCAAGGAGTTGATCTTTACGTCGCGGGTTCGAATGCCACTGTGGAACGTGGAAACCAGTCCTTCGGATGAGACCGTATAATCTGAGGTCTAGTGTCGCAGTAGATGCTGGCACGAAAAAAGATCCCTCACTGCTCAATGGCATTGAGTGCCGAGCATAGGTCAAAATTTGCAACCGGCAAGTGGTGGCGTCTCCATATGAGTGAAGAATTCTCAAGAGGAGCGTTCAACAACAAACAAACGAAACGAATGACGTTATATATGACACAAAATTTGTTTCAAAATATTCGGCAATATTGTTATCATATTTTGAGATTTCCCCTTTTTTCATATTTGTGAATAAAACAAATGCGTACAACCTTTTATTTACGCATCATCCTGCAGTTTATTTTATGTTTGCTACTCATTGAATTTTAAATGACGTCACCATGCCTAACAAATGTGAATCCAAGCTTTCCTTAACGTAGCTGATTGAACACATAACTGTGAACGGTGAGCGCACGGTGACCGTGAATGCACGCTGAACGAACGTTGATGCGCGCTGAACGAATGGTGAGAGAAGGGAAAAATGGGAAAGTAGAACGTTTCAGGGACTGTAGCAGTAGAGTGACATTTTAACGTACCCTGGCGAAGGTTATTTACTGCAAGAAAATCATTTCTTTGTCCACCAAATTCTTTGGTCCAAAAGAGCGCTTGAGCATCAATGGTTGAGGGAATGGTAGTTCGGTATCTCTCGCGAACATACTGCACATACAGTGCAGCTGCAATGCCTGAGTATAATGGTTTCCGAAGGTCTGACCATGTGACGCGGGACCAATTTATGCTGAAGTTTCTTTGAATTCCATTACGTTGATTTCGTAAATTGTAAGAAGTTTGGGTAAGAAGAAACTTCTGTTGATTGATCTACAAAGTTTGTCGCTAATCATTAATTAACTATTCTGGCTTTTTTAATCGCACATCAAACACTGGCTCGAAGTAAGAAAAGGAAGTTTTTTAAAAACTAAATACCTGCCAGATGCCACCATGAAATCCTTGCAGATAGGTGTCGCTTTTCTCTCCATCTCTACTGGCAGCATAAGCCATTCTTCTCAAATAGAAATTATCATCAGATATGATACATCGCTCTCTAAGTAAATCAACCACCGCTTCCACAACAGCAGATCCGCGCGCGCCATCTTCTCTGGTCTTGTCCACTGCACATACAACGGACACTAGAAGCAGGGTTACGAAGATGGAAAATGCTCCCATATTTTCTATTTTGCTGCGGATCAGGATTTGTCAGGAATCTCAAAGGACCGAAGTATATATAATGGTGATGAACAATTACGAGGCAACGTAATTTGATATGCAGCATTTTGATTCAAACACTTAACGTAAACAATTTTCTATTGAAATCCTTGAAGGTTACGCAAAGTGGCCATATCTTTTCTCACATCACATTGAATGCCAGTTTAGTTCTCTCTTTTGTTTAAATATTTAAAGAAATTTCTACGAGATATTTATCGTGGTATGAATATCCGTCATCTGTGTGTATATTTAAACTATCTAATTATTGTTGGTGTTAAACTGGTCACTTCAGACATACTTCTGTTTTCAAACATGCAAAGATATGCGATTAATCTAATTCATTATATCTATACTGATTAAGTGACAAGCCATATTTTTGTCTTTTTTGATAACTTCCTTAGCAGACTGTGGCATTTGCTTTTGTGTACTCTTATTATAGAAATGCCAACCCGTGTGGTAAAAATGAATCTGTCATATTTTTACACGCGATTTTTTAAAGACTATTGTGTGGAATCGGGTGAAATTTGCAGGAGACATAATTACGTTTTGTACCCAGATATAATTTTTGTCCGGGAGCAAATTAAGTAAACAAGGTTTTTTTTTTTTTTTTTTTTTTTTTTTTGGTTCCGAGCTAAGGACCATTTTCTGAATTCAAAATTATCCACAGATAATTTTAGGGTTTTTTTTCGTCGTTGGCACTTCATATTGCAATTGAAAGTACATGTAACAATAGAAATTCTAATTTGTGAATTTCTTCTTTCTCCAACATTTTCAATTGTAACTGTAATAGTGATTCGGTAAGTGGAGCAGTTCATTATGATGATAAAAATGTCATTTAACTGTTCTAAAATTATTCAATGCGTTTTATGATAGCTCTTCTCAAGAACATCAAAGCCATGATTAGTCATACTTATACTGAAGCGTCCTCAGGTAGTGTAGATAAAATTTTGTTCAAATCATGCATGGACCCTAGATTAGGGTAAGGCCAAAATAGGAGACCAAAGTTTATATGGGAACATATATGATTTTGTTTAGATTCTTCTTTTTATGAACAACAGTCATTATCAGTCACATTGACACACAAGTAAACTCAGGTATATTAGATAGTTTAGGTAGTTTAGATTCAAGTTTTATTTTAGATCAGGGCTACAATATTGGGTCAATTTTTTAAAATAAAATCTGCTGATGAAGAACAGCTAGACTAAGTAACACAGATGAGTGTCGTGGAGCATGAACATCTCTACAGTTTAATATCAAATCTAAGTTTATGCACATATTTTTCAAAATTTTTAAAATAATACAATAAATCAAGCAAACTACTGGCTCTTTAAATTTCATGATAAACTGATAAACTCCATTTTTCTATCATCAACTTCCTTTATTTATGTAGCAATATACCTTTATCACCTTCATAGGGGTTGATATCCCTTAGTTGATTTGATACGCAAGAGCATGCTCCACGTATGAACAATTTCTTAAGCGAGGCATTATTTAAAATCAAGTTGATGACACAAGTATATATATATATACAGTCATTTTGCAAGTTATATGGTCGATAGAATGACCTTGTCAGCAAATACAGTGACATTGTCAGCAAAAACAATCTATCATTAAGCATGATGCTGACTGATGCATTTCATACAATTTGTTAGGTCATTATTTAAACACTGAATTTTCTACGGATTTTCCTGTTTGCCTGATCATGACAATAAACACACTGCGGATGTGACCGGTCGTCCGGAGATGTTTACTCTCCGATGGCACCTGATCCCAACTCTGATGTTTGTTTTAAAGGTCCGTATTTGTTCTCTTCCCGATTTGTATTATTTCATTTGACTTTGAGCTTGATTACTGTTCGTTATCATTATATTTCCTTCTTCCTCCAGAGAAATGGACTGATTTTTATTCGAGAAGATGTACCAGCTAGTGCAATCCTTCTAAATCCCCATAAGTACAATGTAATAAAATTAGGGTTGATTTTTTAATTGGATGCCTTATTTCAAGACTTTACATTTATATTCCCTAGTATGATAACTGGACTCTGAGAATTCCAAGCTGTCAGTCAAACCTCGTACTCAGACCAATTTATTGGAATCAAAGGCTTGGTGTTAGTGTAGCTACACACTGGAACAGGCTCTCCGAAGATATGAGGCATGGAAAAATCTCTTTCTTATATTAAAACTGTCTTCTGACCCATTCTGATTACATTGCTTTTTGCCATTATTTTAAGTTAGCAACTCCACGCCACATCGGTCGTCAAATTGTTTTTGATCATTTATTGTTTTATGTATACGTATATGTACTTTTTTGTGTTCTCCTCCAAAAGCAAAGTCAAAAAGAACTACTGTACTGTACTGTCTCTTAAATCAAATACACCTTACATTTTGGGTGTCTCTTGGAGTTCATACCTGGCATTTTATCTAAAATTTCTGTTCTTACTTAAAAATAGGCTAGTTAAAGGACGCAGACTCGATACAAGTGACTTCCTCTCCCATTGCATGCATAACTGCATGAGAATAATTCACACTTTTATAACTGATGTACATGCACATCAATTATGTATTGGTAAGAGTGGGAAACGTACATTAAAATTCTTGGTAAATTTCTATACAATATAGATAGATAATGGTGATATTTGTGTAGAGTAATTAAAGGGCGTAGCGCGCGGTTATTAGCTCCGCCTTCTGTAATTTAATTGGACAGCAATTTGTCAAAGAACTATATACGGTAAGGGCGTTTTCCTGGTTCCATGATTGTCAAATTTTGAAAATCTCTTGAAATGAGAAAAACTGCATATATTGTATAAAATAACCCAAATTAAGACAATATATTATGAAATTGGAAAAATTAGTTGGCTTTTCTTGTCTCTGTGACGTCACAAACTATTTGGATTTCCGTTATTTTTAAAATAGAGGCCAAAATGCACAGAGTTTGTTCAATTTTGACTATAGTATTTATAGAGCGCAAGCTTGCTCAGGTACCATATTCACATATTTCATTGATATTATCATCCTACACATTATATCAAAAGATCTAGTCTGAGCAGACCTGCGCTCGATAAATTCCAATCAAAATACCGACGTAAAATACGCTATTTTCTCTCAAAATCATTGCAATTTGGAATTTACGTCATTTTATTGACGTCATATCTTACTAATGATGTCATAGTTGATAAAAATATTTAATGCTTTGAAGTCTGCAAATATCCACCTGGTTTAGAACATAATTAAAGATTTCTCTTATTTTGGGGTCAGATACTGGCCACTACAGAATATAGTCCTTTGCATAGTACGTAGTAACCTTTTGTGATATTTTTGTTGTTTGTTTTAAACTAATTAGCTGTCAATGGGACAGTCAATGAACAAAACTGAATAAATAGAGAGAAAAATGGTCCAGAATCTGAAACAAAGCAAAAAAATTAACAGCTTTTTAAAATAAATATTTGTATTTTAGCACATTTCTTCAAAGCTTAGCAACATACACTTTGCTTGTTAACTGTACAAAGCACAACTGAGAGGTTTTATTTTACAATAACCAAAATATCAAAATCAAAATAAATTATTGATTTCCGCAGGACACACTAAGTTATTAAGACTTTCTCGTAATGATGACATTCATGTACGATGATAATAAGGAATATCTGTTGCTTAACCCCATTGTTTCTGCATTTAATTTTTACTGTACGACATGATATTTGCAATATCTTTATATCTGGTAAGTGATACTAGTATTTGTAGGAAGAACAAGCAAGAGAGAAGAGAAGTAGTTTTGAATATTGCATAATTATATTCAGCAATTTAATGATGGGTTACCGTGTTATCATCTTTGTTCGTGGATTTCGTGGGTAGCCATTATCCACGAATTAACGTCCCCATCAACATTTTACAGGGTTCGACACTAACTTTTTTAGGCTTTAGTCCGGCCGGACTAGTGCTTCTTTACTTTTACTAGTCCGCAAGCAATTTTATGAGTCCGTCAAAAAAAGGAAACATCAATGTTTTGTAACATTAATTTAAAAACAAACATTTCAATTTATGTTTTTATAATTTTTTTAAAATAAACAAAGCATTTACGTGAAATGGTTTATTCCACAGCACAGATTCCTTGAAATCTTACGATCAACAAGTACGATCGTATTAATGATCCCGATCTCGTTCTTTTTCTCTTAACATTACATCCAAAATGTCTGACATCTTTCTTTTATGTGTCATATAAATCATAATCGCTAAACGTTTTGCTTCATATCAATCAGTCGAAAAATTAAGCGCTGACTCGAAATTGTGTAACTACCCGCCAAGAAGGTAGAAAGCTAAAAATAAATGTGGGGTTTTCCAGTAAAAGTCGTAGAGAATCGGACATTGGTAAATTATTCATATTGTTTTCCAGGAATTTTTATTGGTCCGTTCGGACTTATTAGCCGCAGATTTTATTAGTCCGAATGAAATGTATTAGTCTGAGACTAACGGACTAACGTTAGTTTCGAACCCTGTTTTAACAAAAATCCTTTGAGCGTAGTGTTAATTTATTTAACTTAATGAAATATGCAAGTTACCCATGAAATCGCATCCCCACGAACTATCAAATTTTGGTTATCAAAGAACATTGGAACACAAATATTTTTAGCAAAATTAATTTATTTAACTTAATGAACTATGCAAGTTACACATGAAATCACGTCCCCATGAACCAGTCGATATTTGGTTACCCACTAACAATAATGATTCCACAGTATTTTAAAGTATTCTAAATGTGCATATTTTTTTATAGATTGTATTCATACCGTGTCAAATTAATAAATTTTAAATAGCAACTAACAGTCTTTATCTTGTCTAGATCTTTAACTCTGCTAAAGTTTCTTTCATACATAGGTAAACTTAAATCACTCCTGGCCCAAGGCTAATGAATCAATTGAGTCTTAGTCAATAGACAAAAAAACGAAATTAGGTATTTTAAGTGAGAAAACAGATTCTAATGGTTAAGTGGTTTCCAAAAATATAGAGCAAAGACCCACTATACCTTAAAAATTTACTTTGATGATATAACATTCGCATCTTTTCGAGAAATTTTTGAAGTCAATTAAGTCAAGAGTCATATCACAAACATGATTTAAATGCCACTATTCATCAGGGCTTGTGTACTCTAGTGGTTAGATTGCTAGTCTCGAAGGAAAATGATACTAAGGACTTTTATTGCAAGGGTTCGAACCCACGAATACCACATTGTTTTTTTATTAAAAGAATAAATTTTGCCGAGAAAATTTTCCTCAGAAAAGTTTTGTTTATCATAATTTCATAAATTTCAATAATGAGAACTTTACACTAAATACTAAATTTACAAATTGAAATGATTTTTATATATCTGAAGCTATAGGTTTTCTGCACACTATATTCACCCATCTCCTTTCAACGAGTATTCGACTATCGTTCGGCTAAAGCCTCCGACTCAGCTGTCCGAGTAAAATTGACATATATATATATATATATATATATATATATATATATATATATATATATATATATATATATATATATATATATATATATATATATATATATATATATATATATATTCTAATTTTTGCATTTCAAAGACTTTTTTATGTAGTTGATACATACATATCCAGACATTCCATGTGTTTCATGCCGTTTGAAAATATGGACCTAAATTTTCTACAGAATGAAAATCTATGTAGCAGTACGTTATCGACAACTGCCTAAAGATCACATAGTCATATTATCAATTTCAGAAATAATAAAGTATTGAAAAAAATGATTTTCCGGTATACTTATAAAACGTGGGCAATAGAAATTGTATTTTTAGCGGATTTACAGTAAAAGGTCATTAAGGTAAATACAACGATATATTCAAGCATTTAGTATCATTTAAGAGGTAGTAAGAAAACAATAGACTGCCTTGAAGTGCCTTAAAATAGAACACTAAAAAGTAATAAAAAGGAAATATGAAAGTTGCCAAAACTAGGAAAACCTGCTTTTTAGAAGTTAGTTTGTCTATTTTTCAACATTTTTAATGCAATAACGTTTGTGAGATTTACCATAACACATAAAAAAGTTTTGTTAGGTTACCCTGACCTTGAATGGAAAGGTACTCAAAATAAATTTCAAATGATTTTTCCTGAAAAAAAAATATAGAAAGTACCTTATCACCCCAACCTTAAATTTGTCTTTTACTTTTTTTTCGCAAAAAAATCAAACAAATGATATCTTTACAATTACGCATTCCAAAGAAATGAAATGAGGTTTCACCAAATTTTATCCACAAGTATTAAAGTATGTTTTGCAGAGCCAAATCAGAAAAAAATTGTGTCCCGCCAGAAAACCGGATACATTGTGCGCTAGCCAATAATAGAGGTAAACAATGCTATTACTTAATTAGCGTATGATATCTACTTTGCTAGACACGATAGATCATACATGGCCTTCGGAACTGTGGAGAACGGGCTGGGGATTTTGCCGATATATAGTAAACTCTAGAAAAGAAAGGTACTTTATTCTGGTGACCTTTTGATAATAACGTCTGATGATCTTTTTTGGGCTTGTCGAGAAATTTTTGTGTGGGGGCCAACCCTCCCCCTTCAAAAAATGAAAATGTTTGGTTGTGCCCCCACCACAAACTAAATGGATTGCTTAAGCCAAAAAACGGATAAGTCATAAATATTGTTTCAAATTATATTACGTAGTGTTCAGAATTCTTTATTTAAACTTTGAATGTAGAGGGAATGTTAAAAGATAATGATGAACCAAAACATTAATTTGAATGTTAAACAAAACTTTAAAAAAAAAAGCCTGTTTAACAAACATATCTTTGAAAAAAATCGAAGCACGAAAAGTATTGTAAAGAAAAGTTTGATAATACATAATTGTACATCTGATAACATGAAACAAAAAAATCGCGATCGTTTTAAAGGCATCATTGTTCTAAACACCAGACTGATACCAAAATACAACAGCAGCATACATATACTTTAATTTTTAATAGACAATACATCAAAATAAACTTAAAATGATTCAGGAACTGACATGGAAGGTAAAGGGAGGTCCTGGTAGATTATTAGATTTTCCATACACAGCACATTGGTGTAAAGGACATGGACTTTCATGCCATGCATATCTGACCTGTACCACGTGATTGCCATGCGTACATGCCGATATGTCAAGAGTAACAGTGGCGTAGTCATGTGACGTCATCGTTACATTCATCCAATGGGTGTCAAAAGAGTTGCAGATCTTGGTTGCTTGATCCACGCAACACACCTAAACGGTTTGATTAATATATTGCATTATTTACCCATATGATTAAATAAAGTTCATTTGCTAAATAGATTTAAAGATAAAAATAGTTATTTTTTGTCGTACATATTTTTAAAACATATTCCCTATAAAATTTTTGCATTTTATCAACTTTTTGTCCACCACATGTTTTCGAAGATGTTCACTTTCATTCTTCTGTTCGTAATTCGAACATATTAAATTTATTAAACAAGAAGAAGAAGAAAAAAGTTTTCAGAACCGGACAAGCAAATAATGAAGCTCTCTACCTCGAACCCTTTGTTTGATCTGACTTCAATAGGTGTTAGTCCTCGTCCGTATTCTATAGTGAGATGGCGATGAGTGCTATCCATTTCGGCAGAAGTGGGGAAAGGTCCTTCAAATTCTACACCTGGCTGATGATATGCCACACCCAGTGCTCCAAGATACAAGCGATAGGCTACATCATGCTTATAACGTGGGTGAATACTAAAATAAAAAATACCTATTGTAAATCATTCAAATCTTAAGTCCCTATCTCAACTGATAGAATAAGCATGATTTTCTCTGCTGATATAAACCGACACTAATACATCGCATTCCTATATTATGTTAAACTAACGCCAGCTACATGTATACAATTTCTTAGTGAAAAGTAACATTGGTACATGTACCTTCCGTAGGGTGATTTAAAATCAGGTAGATCGATAGCCACAGCCATAAAAACATTATGCAGAAGTGAATTAGGAACGTATCCAATATTTGCCGTCTGTGACCAGCGGAGTTGTGGAAATCCAAGACTCGTTCCCTCTTCTCTATTAGGTGCTAGCTGATTCAGAAATAAAAAAAATAAAGTTTTACAAAGCTGAGAAGTCTTTTCGCTAGAGGAATTTAGGGCACAGTATGTTCCACATAACATTCGGTAGAATATTCAGAAGAGAGATGGTGGATAGATAATACTTTAAACCAGTGCAAACGAGAGGAAAAGAGGTGAATTTCAAATAGGAATATGCTACAATATCAATTATAAATATCAATTGGTATGGTACTGATTGGTATGACATTCTTAAACTAAGCAAAGGGAAAATGCAGGACTCTTCTAATAGTCCCAAGCATGAAATCAATATCAAATGGAGAAGTAATTTCTCGACTTTTATCAAATAAGATTTTCTTACGAAATATAAACTATCTTGAGAGAATCGTAATTAATGACAGATTTTGCAATTAGCGTTGACAACAAATAAAGATGGCGTCGCCTAATCAGAGTACGATGAAAGGTAACGCTTTTAAGAAAAGTAGAATTTGGCCATAATGATAATAATAAAAATTATGTGAACCAACTATTATTTGCACAACTTTAATTCCCAATTCATCATTTTGAAAACCATCTGCGTCGACTATTTTTTTTTTCTAGACGAAACAATCTTCTTTCGTACACACTGAAAACAATGTTCGCAGTGAGAAATGTCCGCCAGTAAAAAGAGTCGCGAACCTCGCGAATATTTCTTGTCATCGAATAAAAGTTAATTTACAGTATGCACCTGTACAAAACCAAAAGGAAATGTTGAACTAGTTGTCCCTCCAGAGGCTTTGCTGAATTTCATCCTCCAGTCCTCTATCATTTCAAGGAACTGACAAGAATACTGATACGCATGCCCAGCATTTGACTCTCCTTTTTAAAAAGTACAGATTTTCAATTTAAACGTATATACTTTAAAATGATTTTCAATTTCTGTTCTAACAATGTAAAATGTGGAATTTGCAAAAGGTTAGGTCAATGAGAATTAATGTTAGAAGTAAAAAAAACATCTATCTCTCATTTTCTCTCTTTCCCTCAACAGAACTCCCATTTCCTGCATTAATTATTGTATCCATCTCAAAGTATAAAACAATCTTTCTCATTTCAAGGTGAATGAAGAACAATTTTTAAAGGTTAAATGGAAATAATATGTATAAAGCTTTTAGTTAATATTTAAAAAAAACAGTGGGGAAGGGGGAGGGGTTAACGCTCATCGAAGATATTTCTTCATTTTTAATTATACCTTGGTACCAGATAGCTCCTTTGATCGTATTCCTAAGAATTGGATAAATCATGGCGTTGTACAACTGATTATTGGAGTTTTGATTCCTGTTACAAAAACTTTAAATTTGGTAACATAAAACTTCGAAGATCAGTGAGCTCTTAATCGGATTGCAATTACATTTAAAGAAATAATGCCAGAGGAGCTAATTTGAATGAAAGTAGAACAACAGACGCAAAAAAAACCTTTTACGACGACCGTGGAATCCTGCACACGCAGATAAAGCATCTGGTGATGACCAGGCCTCAATCCTAGTACCGCCCCAATTTGCCTCCACCAATCCAATCGGATAGTTAAAATGTTGTGACAAGTATTTTCCATAAAGCCAGCAAACCGCTGAATAATACTTAAGGCTCTCTGATGGCAAAAATCAACTGTGTTTTTCAAAGGTATTCCCATATAAACATTATTAATCCTAAGAAAACATTGTGTTCTACGATAAACTTACGCTGAGTTGGTTTAAGCCACGATGCATCGATGTGTTTTACATCTGTATAGGGAGTTGGAGAAAATTCCTTGTGAACTCGAAATAGACGGATGTTTTGGTAATTTGCACTATCAGCATATTCCTCCGTTGCATTTACTAGCTGAATAAATGACGCAATTTAAATTCATATTTCTAAGGATTTCATTGTTTTGTAATTTTAAAGAAAAAAGTCAATATGCATCATACGTCAAGTACTTTTCAAGGAAAGTATGAGCAAATCAGTATGATAAATTAAAATAGTTTAATTATGGTTAAAGAAAAGGTCCCTTTCTCACCCCAAGATTACCAAACTCCATATTACTTTGTCCTGAACAAACCCACACGTCACCAAAGAGGACATCAGAGATCTGAACTGTTCCCAGACTTGAAGTTGCAGACACGGTGTATGGACCGTGGTCGGTAGGACTTGTAAACTTTGCTTCCCAGATATGATTGCTGTTTACAGTAGCCCTTGTAACTTCATTGTTGTTTAGTTTTATATGTACTACATCACCAACTTTGCTCGAATGTCCCCATATAGAAGTTCCCATGGAACTCTTCTGCATTACCATGTGGTCATGATAGTAGGAAGAAAATGTGAAATTTGCTGCTTCCACTTGGAATGGAATAAAAGCAAATTGTCTCGTTAAGCAACAAATCAATTACTAGAGTAAATCACGAAAAGATGATTTTGTGTACGATGCATGCAATCAAAGTAAGTTCCCTTTTCAAGAAAAGTATTGCATCTTAAGTAATTATTTCTTCTTAGAATAATGCATGTTGTATTCATATGCATTGATATGAACGAAAGATAATTAGCTCAAATAATCTCTGATTATCGGAGTACGTGTGAAAACTAAAAATGTATCATATTTTGATGTTACCTCCTTGTAGTTTGTATATCAAAATCAATTAAGAAAAGCAATGCTTCTCATCTTATAGCATGATTCAATGAAAGATTATAGACTGTGATTACGTAAAAGCAATAATCAGAGATCTATGTAATGCAGTTAATATATGCATCATTTACTTACAAAAATGGGGATTGGAAATAAAAATCGCAAGAACACAGACGATTGCTAACGATCCCATCCTCTTCGAAATATCTCGAATATAGTTATATCTCAAGAAGTTAGGGCATTAACAAATAGGAAACTTCTTATCAGTGCTAGTATTACATGTAGACTTAGATTTTGAACCCAAAATTCAACAGTACATATTCATAATCGAAATGGGAAGGAACTTCCGGTATCACATTAACATGTAAATACGTACATGTATAGTTGCAGATTATAGGAATGTATAGAACACAGTACTTTTGAAAATCGTCATTTTCTGCAATTTTTAAAATCTACCTTCTATGTACGTATTTTTGGGTTTACTCTGAAAGAGTTGCCTAGCATATCTTTCACCGTCAATGTTTTTGGATGTTCTAAAACAGAGAGACTGTGCTTAATGGCATAACTTTTATTTTGAAAACTGCGAGCTCTTAAAGAAAGATCTTGGCAAAGATTAAATTCAGACTCTGGTATTAACAAACTAAATGATTTCACCAGGATGAACGTGAACTAGACCCAATCCCGGATTGTAACAAACAAGTTCATTCTCTCTATATAGTGTAAACTTTACCGTTAATTAACGGTAAAGTTTACACTATATAGAGAGAATTCTGGAACAACCTACCCAAATATTTAAAACTTACATTTTGTTTATTTCTTTTATCTGATTTCCAAATTTATAATATATCCAAATTCATATTTTAGAATTGCCCTTCCATATTATCTTTCTTTAATTTCTTTTTATCATGTATAGTTACGCTATTTCGAGAGAATAAGACAGTGTACGATTTACTGCTTGGTCGTAATTAACTAGCGATAATTAATTCGTTCAATTATGTAAATCGCACTTCACCAGAGTACACCCGATAGACCAGACGCAATTCATAGCGCTCCGGATTTCTTTGTTCACAACTGTTTATAAACTTCAAATTAAACATGTAACACTGTAAATATTTAGTGTTTGGTAGTTCAGTAGTAGTGTTAGTTGTTTTTGTTTCTCTATTTCCTTTGTTTATATGACTTCTTAAATTATTTCTTTGTCCTGAGGAAGGGACAGGTCGTCCCGAAAATTTGACAATTATTATTGTTCGTGTCGTTGGTCATTTTTAGTGCTTTATATAAATTTCAATCCTTGACCTTATACCCAGATAGCAAGACTACATCGGGCCAACGTTGGTTGATGGTTGGTAGGTTGGTATAGTGTTGGTGTTGGGCGGTAAATGTTGGCCCAACATTGGTCCAACGAATGATATGTTGGCGTGAAAGCTGGTCCATCGGTGTTGGGTATGCGATGTTGGGCCAATGTTTGTCCATTGTAGTAAATGTTGGCATGAAACATGACCATTATATGTTGGGCATTTGATGTTGGTCCAACGTAGGTCCAACCGACGCGGGTATGTTAAGGAAGCATATAAGTCAATTCTCTGGAAATTTAGACTTTTTAAAGAATATTAAGTTTGATAATTTACCAAAACCGCTGATAAATGTAAACTATTATTATCTATTGCATAAAGATAAAAGAGTGTCTAACGCAAAGACGTGCACCACCACCACGGCATCACGTGACTTCTATTAATAGCGAAATTTTCCTTAGTAAAAAAGCTAACAGAACAACAATACCCCGAAGTGTAATAATTTCTTTGAGTAAATAATATAGTTGGAAAACATCTATTTTGCCTAAAAAGTGCTGCTAGAATCCCACTGTCCCGTCAGTAAAATAATAATTCCACACATTCGCACGAAACCTTACCCGATGTTTTGAATTTTATACATATAAACCGAGATTTTTCGTAAAACCATGCTTAACTCTGGATTCTAGCAACACTTTCCAAGTATTTTAGGAGGCAAACTTTCCATCTGTACAAATCTTATGTTTTGAAATATACAGCTTATTGTTGTTCTGCTGCATTATTTTTGTCACAAATGACAGAGGAAAGGCCGACCGGGATACGTATATAGCTGACTGTCTTCGAAGAGAATACAATCGATGAAAATAAATTAGCATACCTGTTTTAGTAACTGAACTCCATATGGATTTCACAAAATATTCAGGATCTTTGCTTTTAAACTCCATTTTACGTATCTTTGTACATGCCGTCTTAGCCAAATTCTCTTTACACGACATGATCAATTCCCAAGTTACTTGAAGTACACATATGACGTCATCGGTGGTAGATTTTAATCAAAATGACAGATACAGCATAACAAAATAAATACGAATATTACGAAAACTTGTATTCTAAAATTGACGTCATCTTGCCTACTATGACGTCATAATGTAGCACTGATTAAGTCAAGGTAGAATATTTTGTATGCTTCCTTATTACCCCTGCGGAGTAGATGTTGGCATAAAATAAAACCACTGTATGTTGGGATGTAATGTTAGGGCCAACCAAGTAATGTTGAACATGAAACACATGGAATGTGTGTTGGGCATGTAATTATAATGTTGGTCCAATGTTGGCCCAACGTAGTAAATTTTGATTATGATAAGGCATTGATTAGGCTTTCAACGTTGGTCCAGCGCTGGTTCAACGGAGTGAATATTGGGAAGGAAACAACTTTTATTAACTTACATGTAGCTGATCTGTTAATTACACACATTAAACCACTTAAGCTTCTGTCATTTAGGTAGAGACTTCAGCTCACCTTTCGTTAAAATATTATGAACGAGGGGATTATCTTAATAACCCATTTATTAATAATTTACAGTGTATGTGTTAATTAAAAACAAAAAAATATTCCAGAACCTAATTTATGAAAATTATATTTTTAATGATGATCTATGTTTGTAATTATAGTGTCCGAGACCATTGCAAATACATGTAGAAGTTTTATTCTGCACAGTATATAATTTTGTAGATGCTATATTTAGCATCATAGATCTTAGTGCTGAATTTTAGAGCTCCATATAATTAGGTCAGTGGTGAAATCCACTGGCTCAGCAGGTGACTGGCCAGTTTCCTAGGAAACTGGCATCCTAATCAGCTCTGTTTCGTAAACTCGGAGTGGTCACATCTTATCACTTGCAACACTTGAACAAAGCATATACATGTACGTGTCCGTTTTGAATCGCAAGAAAGAGAAAATGGATTGTTTTAGCCCTTGAAATGTAAGTATAGTCATTTTATGTTATGTGTGAATGATAGAATTTTAACTCTGTGAAAGTTTTAACTTGAGCATATAGTTTGTAAAATTGAACAAGTTTTTCAAAAATTGCAATTTTCAAAATATGCATGTATATTTACAAGAAGTCTGGTTAAGTTATAACTTATAAGTACTAAGTGACATCATTTTTGAACGGATTAAACTGATATATTTTTTATATCGTTTATAGCATCTGATGTGGAGAAAAACCTTTATGTTACAAGACCATTGATGTTTGGAGTTTAATGGACAGAGAGTGATTTATCTGTGTGAGGGATATGAATTTTATAGACAAAGAAACATGAACAAGAAAAAAGGAGTGAATGATTCAGATGTAATATGGACAGGAGAACATTCCAAAGTTTCGCAAATTTGAACACAGGGACTCTTATTCTAGAGGAATATTATATAGTGATTGATGTGATATTGGATAGACTTAAGAAAAAAGTGAACTACCTTTATTTCCTCTATTGATTTCATTCCATAGAAGTGACAAAAATAAAATATTTGTTTGAGGAACAAGCTAATTTACCATGCAGGATTTATTCAATTAATTGTGTTTTACTCGTAATTATGGAAATAAAAAGGTTACAGGAATTAATTCATATTGTTGAACTAATTAAAAATAATTGATACGCCGATCATTCACCAACATGTTTATAGAACGTAGGGCCAACGTTGGTCCAACATTCATTCTTAGTTTTAAAAAACATTGAACCAACATTGGACCAACAGGAAGATGAACGTTGGGCCACTGTTGGGCCAATGCCAGATAACCAACAGTCGAATGTTGGCCCAACGTCGAGCCAACTTGTTGGTTGAACGTAGGGCCGATGAGCAAGATGATGTTGGGCCAACGCATAAAACTGACAGAGGGCCAACGTAATTTTCACCGTTGGGCTTGCGTTGGCCCAACGTAAGCTTGCTATCTGGGTATCTACTTCGTAAATCCGACACTTAGGATATACAGTGTTGTTGGCTTTTAATGCTTTATATATATATATATATATATATATATATATATATATATATATATATATATATATATATATATATATATATATATATATATATATATATATATATATATATGGACCGTTCTCTGGGAAAAAGGGGTATTATTGACAAAATTCTCGAAATTGACTTTTTCAAATATTTCAAATCTACCACAAATTTAGAACACACAGTCTAACTTTTAGGATTTAATTTGCTATAGTTTAAAAAATATACCTGTTTGAAAACTACATGTTATAATGAAACAATAACGTCATTGACGTTATTCAATAACGTCATCTTTTTTTTAATTCAAGTCTTATAGAAACAGAGACTTAGATTAATTTGATGATTAAATAGAATTTTAACCTAAATTTATCCTTACACATTTTGAATAA